CGGTCCCCGCGCTCCCGCTGCCGTCACCTCTTCCCATCGCTGCCCCCGGTGCTGCCCCGACTCGGGCACGAGCACTTGGGTCCCGTCCCCACCGGACGGACCTTTCCCCCTCCTTCCTTCTCCCGAAAGGAGCCTGACCTCCCCCTTCTTCCCCGCTCTGCGCAGGGCGGGAGGGCACCGGAGTTCTCCTCGGAGGCTTAACGGGGACCCCACTCGCGACACCCCCCCCGCGCAGCCGGGCTCCCCTCCATGTTGTGTATGCGGGTGCGAGAAGTAAATTCAGATAAGAAAGTGCTCCCGGCCGTAAATCCCCGCATTGCCACTGCCCGGGGCCGGGCTCCCTTCCTCGAGGGGGGGGACACATTGCTGACAAAGCTTAATCTCATTGCGACATGTTTAATCATTAGAGAGACGGGAGCGAATAGAGCCCGGAGGGGGAGAAGCGTTTGCCCGGCAAATAGAACAATTTATGATAGACTAGAAGGGGAAGGGAAGCCCCAGGCCGGGTTTATAGCTTGGGCCGGGTCCTGGAGCGGGGGGATTAAATAAGACCAACAAATAGGTGGGTCGGGGGGGGGGGGGCTGCGGGTTCCGGCTTTGTGCTCGCCCGCACGGCCTTAACAAACTGCCTCTGCCACTATTGGCAATATTTTCAAAGATCTCATTAAAGTGCATTTATCAAAGCCCTAACATGTGCCCTCCGGCTCTGACATAACCCCGGCAGCCCCCAGGGAGGAGGAGGCGGGGGGGGACAAATCCCAATTTCTATTACAATTCACCACCTCGGGAGGTTGGCTGGGGGCAGGAGAGATCTCCATCTACAAATTTATAAGTAATATCGGTGAATTGGAAGGATTTCTCCGCCTTTGAAGCTTCGGGGGGAAGGAGATAGAGTAATCGTGATTATAGGAAAGCTCATTTAGATTCCTATGTCCTGGAGAAGATTTAATTGTCTGCGGGAGAAAGGATTTTGGGGGGCACGGGGCTTTCTTCTGAGCTTCGATGGGGAAGGCTGGGGCCGGGTCCCTTTCCGTGTGTGGGGGAAGGTTCCCCCCTTTTTTGCCCCCCTTTTTCCTCTTTTTTTTCCTTCCTCCCCCGACACCCCTAACGCCTTTGTCGATGCCATTTTTCCAGCCGTGAAAAGAAACGGGAATTCCACCCGGCAGAAACTCCGAGCCCCGCACGTTACCATTAAGTTCCTGAAAGCGGCGGAGGATGCAGAGGGCTCTGGTTTCCCCTCCATTTCAGGAAATAGGGATTTTTGCCCCTCCCAGTCCGGGCCGCCGCTGTACCAGGTACAAGGGAACGCGGAGCCGCAGGCTCGTGGTGTCCCATCCCTTTCCACGGCCTGGCGCGGCCGCGGCCCCGCCGAACCGGCAGCATCGCTGCGGCTTCAGCGACGGAAAATGCCGTTTAAATCCCCCCCCCCCCCCCCCCCTCCCACCCCGGAGGATACGTGCAGAAACGATCGGTTTATGTTTTATTTTTCCTCTTTTTTTTTTTTTTTTTTTTTTTTTGGTGGTGGTTTTGGGGGCCTTGTGTGGTGCCTTTTTTATTTTTTTATTTTTTCCTGATTTTTTTTTCTTAATTTTCTTGTTGGTTTTTGCTTTTTGCCTGGTTCCTTTATCACTCACAAAAGACATCTTTAAAGAAGCTGCTCTTCCTCCCCCCCCCCGGCACACTTTAAAACAAAGAGGGTGTCGCTTACAGGGGATGCTCCTGAGCTGAAGGCCCTAATAACAATTACCAGCAGCGACATGGGCTGGCTTCTCCTCCTCTATTTCTTTCAAGTAGCCCATTCTAAGAGATAAAATAAACCTGGCCCCTTAACAAAGGCTTCGTGTGGGCTTCGCTAATCCCTCCCGAGCGGCAAGGTGCTGTCCTTGTTTGTTTATTTGGGCCCTGGAGTGAGGGAAAACAATAGATCGCACCTCGGGTCTAATCAAACAATAAAGTGATCCACCTGAGGGCTGTACCCGCGATGCGGGGCTGGGGTGCGAGTGGGAGAACCGCACAGCGCCAGACACCTTCTCACTCATTTATACATGTATTATATAGTGTTATATTTAATGTATGTGGATGATGTCGCTCGACAGAGAAGGGAATGAAGTCGGGGCGTCGGTGGCTTAAAACACAGGAAGAAACCGGGAGCTTTGCGGGTAGCGGGAGCCTAAAAGTGGAGGAGGAAGCTACGGCTCCTCGCCGTTTAAGTTCACTACCCCTGGGCTGCCCGTGGCGTGGGGAACCCGGTGGGTCCACTCCCTGCCTCGCCGGTGCGGGTGCGGGGCCACGCGTGACCAGAGAGACGCTTGAAAGCGCTCCTTCCCTCTCATCCCGCACCCAGCGCCTCTTCCCCGCTCTTAAATAACCCCCAAAACGAGCTTTAATGGCGCTAAATCCAACGCCCGCCGCTCATGGGTTGCGGGACCCGGTCCCCACGCAGGCGGAGGCGAGGGGACGAGCAGAGAGGAGGGAGGAGAAGGGTGTTTGAGCTACCTGTGAGAGCAAGCAGGTAAACAGCGACCGCGGGCAGAGGCACAAGTGCAGCCACTCCGCCTGTGTGCACCGCGCCGCCGGCCTCCTGCGGGCCTGTGCAAATAACCCGGGGGAGCGGGACGGGGGGAGCAGCCCCTGCACCCGCCCGGCACCCTCCTGCCCTGCCGCCCCCTTCCCGTCGCGCTGGAGCAGCCCCACAATTCACTTGGCTGGTCCCATCCGTGGGGAGGGCCGGGCAATGCGGCGATGGGCTCCCAGTGCGGCACTGGGGCAGGGGCACAAGGAGAGGGAAGGCACGGAGGGTGGCAGGGCGCTATCGCGATAGCCGCCGACCTGCCGTCGGATTCCCAGCGCTGGGCTGCATCCCGGCCCCGCGACCGCTCCTGACGTCAAAGGGCCCGACCGGTTCTTACGTCACCACCCCGGCTGTTACGTCACGGCGCCCCTGTGCGGAGTGAGAGCGGCCGCGGGCCTCACCCTTGGCTGCTCCTTGGACACCCCCAAACCCCCATCCCCGTGGCCTCGGAGCTTCGTGCACCCGCAAGAGACCTTTGTCCTGCCGCTCGGTCCTTCCATAGCGGCTGGCACCGGGGCCCGGCTACAGCACCCCCATCCCCGGGGCCGTGTACGCCTTGAATGGGCCGCGCTTCGCTCGTGGGCAGCCCCCGCTCCGCCGCTGTCGGGCCCCACGTCGAGTGGGGCTTGCAGGATGCTCTGCCTGTGTGGTGGCATTTGAGGGTCAGTTTGGGTTTGTGTGGGTCCTTATCCTTATTCTTTTATTCTTATTTTTTATTCCTATAATTCTTATTCTTTTATTATTATCATTATTACTCTTATTCCTCTCTATTTGTACTCTTATTCCTACTATTATTCCTGTTATTTCTATTCCTACTATTATTATTCGAAGCCCGGGTCTTCCCCCGGCCCGAGGAGCGGAGCTGCCCCACGAAGCGGCACACGCCAGTGGAGATGCTCATCCTGTCCCTTCCCGGTTGGCTTCCGCCGGGATTCTTTAAATCGAGACGTTATATCGCCGGGCTGCCTCTGTCGCGACTGGCACTGGTCATTACGGCAATTTCTATCCTTTGCTCGCTGCGGTGGGAAGGAATTAAACCTCCTCCCTCCCCCCCCCACCCGCTCCGAAGGCTGAATAAATCGATCGATAAGGCCGAGCCTGGCTGGAAATTGGGGCTCTGTGTCTGGTGGGTGCCCCAGACCCCCTTCCCGGGAAGGGGAGCGCCCGCCCAAAGGGGTTCCCTCGATATCGGGGAGGACTCCGGAATGGATGAAGAGATAGCCATTGAGTGCGGTTGAATACCATGACAACTAGGAACAACCTCAGATTTATTCCCAACAGTTAGGACACATTGAAAGAGGGCGTCAATCACGTATTATTTCGCCACTGAAATAAATGCAAAAACTGCGCCGAGACAAAGGGTTCCAACAGAAGCCGGACATTTGTCTACATTGCGGACATTGTTTCCAGCTTAGCCATAGGGTTGTATTTGTGTTTGCGCGGGTCCGACCACCCAGGATGTGCTCAGGGGCTCGCTTTAAAAAAAAAAGGGGGGGAAAAAAAGATCCCTGGGCATTGTCAGCCACAGCACATACTTTATGGGAGGCAGGCTGGGGGCTGGGGGAGGAAGGATGGGGGCAGCGGGCAGGGAGAGGAGGGGAAGGTGCGGACGCATTGATCGGCAAGCCGGGGGATGTCTGAGGGACCGTCTTCTTCCTCTTCCCCACCACCAGCAGCCGCATTACCGCTCCCTTCTCCTGGAAGAGAAACTCGGTCCACTTTGGTTTTTCAGGAATAAAACCCCCTCCCAAATTGTCTGTGGACACCCACCCCCCCCCCCCCCCCCCCTCTCCTTCCGGAAACCACCGTTATCCCCGCTCATAAGGCTGTCCCGGGCCGGGCTCCAGCTCAGGGATGAGGAAGAGGAAGGAAAAGAAGGTCCGGGCAGGGGTGCTTACGGCCGAGAGTGCGGGGAAGGGGAGGAAGGATGAAAATGAAGATAAAAGTTGGTGTCAGATAGAGAGGGAAGAAGTTGGGGAAACGCGGAGTGGAGACCATGGGCGGCCGCGCAGCACCGCGCAGCAGCGCCGGCATCCGCAGCCGGGGATGCTGCGGGGCTCTGCGGCCGTCGGAGTGTGGCTGTGTATGTGACACCTGAAAGTCCGGCCTCCCACAACGCCGTTTTGGAAAGAAGCCCCTTCACCCGCTCCTTTCCCAGGCCCCGAAAGAGAAAAACCAAAACCCCAATAAATGAGGAAAACCTCAGCTCTATTTGAAGCTCCGTTGGGCTCCAGCCCGTTAAATCAACCAAACTGGCCGGGTTTTATTCCCTTGGAAGAAGGAGGCAAAATCAATGAGACCTCTTCAAATAAAGCCCCCCTCCCTCAAGTAATCACCTCCCGCATCTCCCCGGGTCGTGACTGACGATCGCATTTTGCCAGTTCGGTTAATTTCGGAGCAAACTAGAATCAATTACTCGCTGTTTAATTTCCAGCGTTCATCCCTAAGCCTCAACCAAAATATTGACCTAGGCGGTTTAGATAAGTTGGTCTCCTGCCATCTGAGCCGCCTTCCCCCTTCGGTCCATGCGCTGAGCGCTGCCCCCGGGGCTGCGCGGGAGCGCAGGCTGCGCGGGGAGAGGGGGAGGGCACCTATCCCATAGTTATCTGTATTTTATTTCTCCGCTGCCTCGCAAGGCAATGGGTGGAAAACGCACTTTGGAGTGCGGGGAATATCGGTGCGAGGCTCTTTGTATGTAAATACAGGGCGTAAAAACAAGGGAAAAGAGAAAATAACCCCCTCCCTTCTCCCGGCGAGCCACACACACCCACCCCCCCCCCGCACCCGCGGAAGGGCCCTCCCCACGCCGGTAATTAACTGACACGTTATACCACTCATCACCAATGGTGGAAGCTCGGAGCTCGCCCAAAACCCGCAATTTCACATCTGCAAACACTGTCTTCATCCACTTGACTCCCAGGACCCGCCCACACGTGGCCAACCTTGCCCGGGTTTAATGTAGGTTTTTTTTCTCCCTCCTCTCGGCAGGTTCATGTGTGGGGACCAGCCTTACACGGACTGCTCGCTCCAGCAATGGCTCGGCTTCTCCAAGCGGCAGGCGCGGGCTCGGGGTGTTTGAGCAACAGCCAGAAGTGATTTATTTTTTCCTTCCATTTTTCTCCTTTTTTTTTTTTATTTTTTTTCTTTTCCTTTTTTTTTTTTGGTATTTTTCTTCGCTCCCTCTTTTTTCTATTTTTATTTTTAATTTTTGGCGTGTCTCTCCCCTTTTCCCCCTGGAGTTACAAACTGTTTCCGAAGCTGCTCCCGCTCTCTGAATTTCCCCCCGTGGCACGACAAGCCCGTCCGTGGAAACCACCACCGCAGAGATCCACCGCGGCGGCTCCGCGTCTTCTTTTGCACCAACCGCTTCGGTTATCTCCCTATAAACCTGTGTTCCCGTTATATTTACCCCCCCTTCCACGCGTGCCTCCCCCCCACCCCGCCCCGCTCCCCGCGGCCGTGCGCGGCGGGGCTGTCGCCGCTCCGCGTGTGCGTGGCCCCCGTGACACGGCGGGTCGGCGGAGCCGCTCCTCCAACTTCCCCTGCCTAAATTTGGCCGGAACATGTCTCTGACCAACACAAAGACGGGGTTCTCGGTGAAGGACATTTTGGACCTCCCCGACACCAACGATGAGGACGGCTCCGCTGCGGAGGGGGGTGAGGAGGAGAGCGAAGCGCCGGAACCCCCCAGGAAAGCGGGGGTGCTGGGGCAGACCCCCTTGGACGCTGTGCAGACGCTGCCTTTGAAGAACCCCTTCTACGATAGCAGCGATAATCCCTACACGCGATGGCTGGCGAGCGCCGAGGGCATCCAATACTCCCGTGAGTACCGGCGGAGACGGGGCCGCGCAGCCCCACACTCCCGGCGGTGGGGCAGGAGGGGTCGGGGAGGTGTCTGTGGGGTGTTGGGGGGTGTTCGCCGCTCGCCATTGCTGGCTGAGCCCCGGCCGGTGCCTCCGCCCGCCCCATGCCGCGGCGGGGAGAGCCGAGCTGCCCGGCGCCGGCGGGATGCGGGGAGGGATGTGGGGTGCGGAGGGTGCGCAGCGCCGAGCTCCCCCCTGACGGGCCGCTCCCGGTTGCAGTGCACGGGCTGGCGGCGGGAGGCGGCGGCCAGGACCCATCGGCCAAGTCACCGGAGCCGTCGGCAGACGAGTCACCCGACAACGAGAAGGAAGCAGCGGGCGGCGGGGACGCGGGGAAGAAGAGGAAGAGGAGGGTGCTCTTCTCCAAGGCGCAGACCTACGAGCTGGAGCGGCGGTTCCGGCAGCAGCGGTACCTGTCGGCGCCGGAGCGGGAGCACTTGGCCAGCCTGATCCGCCTCACCCCGACCCAGGTGAAGATCTGGTTCCAGAACCACCGCTACAAGATGAAGCGGGCCCGGGCCGAGAAAGGTATGGAAGTGACTCCTCTGCCCTCCCCGCGGCGGGTGGCCGTGCCGGTCTTAGTCAGGGACGGCAAACCCTGCCACACGCTCAAAGCTCAGGACTTGGCAGCCGCGACCTTCCAGACGGGAATCCCTTTCTCCGCCTATAGCGCCCAGTCCCTACAGCATATGCAATACAACGCCCAGTACAGCGCGGCCAGCAACCCCCAGTACCCCACAGCACACCACTTGGTACAAGCGCAGCAGTGGACTTGGTGAAGGCTGGAGGGGAGCGCGCATCCCCCCGCACCCGCGTACCCCCCATACGCGAAAAGAGGAGGAAAACCCCGAAATAATAAAGCGAGACAGAGAGGGAGACAGACTGATGCTCCAAAAATGAAACTCAAAACTGCGGGGGAAGGGATGGAGAGGGAAACGCTATTATTATTATTATTATTATTGCTATTATTATTATGTTGTTTGGATTTGTTTTTTGGGGGTTTAGTTTGGTTCTTTTTTCCCTCTCCCGTTTCTTTCCCCCTCTATTTTTTGGGGGGCGGCTCGGTTTCATTTCGGGGGGAGGCAGGGAGGGGGGAAAGGGAGGGGAGGTGTTTTTTGTGCGTCATTGTTTACAGAAATTTTTGCGCCATTCAGTGGTCCTGTCTACCTACAGCTCAAATAAAGGGGGGGGGGGGGGGAAATCGTCAGAATTAAACAAAAAATAAAGGAAGAATAAACCCCGCTCCCCGCTGCTCCTGTGGTTTTGTGAGGACCGGGCGGGCACCCGGACACGGGGGGCTCGATTCCCCCCTTCCATGGGGATGCTCGGCCCCGTGGAGCCCCCGGTAGCTCGGAGCGGGTGTGTTTTGTGCCGTGGGGAGCGGCCGGGATGTTGGTTTCGGACGAGCTCGCTTAGGGGTTGCGCACAACTAGTCCCGAGTAACCGGGAGCAGAGGGAAAAGAAACGCGGGTTAAACCCTCGCCGTTCACCCCCGCGGGGAAGCGGCTCTTTCTGCGCGATATTTTAATACGAGTTTTAATTTTATTTAAGGAAATTTAATGTCAACTTTTAAGGAAAACAATTCACGGCATCGATAACAACGGCCAGCCGGGTTTGTTCGCTTCCTCGGCCGCCTCACAGCCACGTTACGGCGTGGGGCCGGAGGGGAGACCGGGCTAAGCAGGGCCCCCCGGCAACTTCTTCCTTGGAGGGGCAAAACTGCTTTTTTTCGGGGCGTTCGGCTTCATCCCGCTGGCGAAAATCGGGGAGAGAGGTTTAAGGATTATTTGGTATCTGTGGCTTTGCTTTTCCACCCCCCTGTGCCCCGTGGTGCGGGGTTCCCCTGACTGTAGTTTGGGTACCATCATCACCCTCCGACCCGCGTCCCCCCGCGTCCGTTTTGCGCAGAAGGGAGCTCGGAAACTTCGCGTTCAGCCCTCGGGGATGCGCCGGCGGCTGGGGCAGGTCGGGGAGAGGGGAACACTTGGGGTACCCCCCAAAAAAGGGGGAGAAGCAGCAGATTTGGGCTGGGTGCGGGTGTTGGCGGCCTGGCCGCCGTGGAACGAGGACTGGGCCCGGCCCTTGGGAAGCGGCGGCCGGTTTCGGGCGGTCGCAGCTCCGGCTCGGAGCGGGTTTGTGCAGCGCCGGGGCGGCTGCGAGCCCTTCGCCCTCCGCTGCGGGTTTTAGGCAGCTAAAGATGCTCAAACACCAAACAAATGCATCCACAAACGGCGGTTGTGCGGTGCGGGGACCGCGGCAGCGCCCGCCCCGTCCCGCCGCTATCAGGCCGAGCCGAGCGGAGCCGGTTCAGTTCAACACCCAAAGCAAAGAAACGATCGGAACCGGTCCCGCCGTGCCCCTCCGCGCCAGTCCGCCCCGGCACAGCCTCCTCCGGCCGCCAGACCCGGCAGCGCCCCTCGCTGCGGCTGGGTTGCTTTTACCCTTTTCCTGGGTTTATTCTGTATTTTTATCCCCCTTTTCCCGTTCCCCCTTTCCCCGCCGCGTGAGCCCGTCCCCAAACCACCGAGGCCCGGCAGCCGCTCTGGGGACGCCACCGGTGACTTGCCCGTGCCCCTGCGGGGATCCACCGAGGCAGAGCCAGCCCGACAAGCGGGGAACCGGCCTCCAGCCCCGGGGAAGCTCCGCCGGGTCCCGGAGCAACGGCGGAACACGAATACGTGCGGGTTTTCCCCTTTGCAGCCCCAACGTGCGAGGCAGGAGCGGAGAGAAGGAAAACTGCCCCTTCTTGATTATTTTTCCCCCTGTTTTTTCCCTCTTTCTCTTTGCCCCCAGGCTCTGCTAAGTCTATAAAACCAGTTGTGTGGCCCTAACCTCCGTGGCCTTATATCTCCCATGCTGCCGGGCCAGCTCCGGGCAGTCTATCTTTGCACAATATACAGTAGACTTCACAAAACAGCACAATGGGGGAGGCAGGGAGGTGAGCATGTTAGAGGCGTGCATATTAAAGAGATGGAGGCCAAGGCAGTCAGGGCCGGGCCGGGAGTGGGGAGAGAAAGAGGAAAGACAGCCTAAGGGGGGTGGCGGGGTGGGCCCCCTCCCTGTGCCTTCCCTCCCTGTGCCTTCCCTCCCTTCTTCTCCCCCCTTCTCCCTTCTTTTTGGGGCCATTCCATTCATTTCGGGGAGGCAGTCCATCCCGGAGTCAGGGAGCAGTGTCCTTTGCGTTTTGTTAGGGCTGTCACTCGTGCTCATTGTTAGGCGTGTTCTACATGTTGTATCCCATATGGCCAGCTGGGCCGGGGGACCCCTCACAAAACCCAAATTGTGCCCAGCTTTCAAACCCAGCATTGTTGTCTGTGAAAGGAAGACGAATTAAAAATTCGTGCTATATCTATTCTGGAAGGCAAAAAAAAAACAAACCCGGGGGGTGGGGGGGACACAAGGAAAAAGAATCCCTCTCTCTTTCTCTCCCTCTCTCCCGCTCTCTTTGAAGACTAACAGAGGCCTCCTCTTCTCCCGGTCCCCGCTGACAAGTTTCTCTCTCATTTCACAGGAAATTAGACTCTCCCCCCCGCAACGAGACCCAAGCGCATCTCCCCCGTAAAACCCACGTCGGGGCCCGCTCCTGCGCCTCCGGCCGGGCAGCGGAGCTCGGCTGCGCGGGGGCTGCGCGGGGGCTGCGCGGAGGCTGCGGCGGGCAGCAGAACAAGGCTGCATTGAGGGCCCGGTAATGTTATGCAGGCGGCCTCCCTCCGCGGCCCGGCCGTACCGCGCGGCGGGCTGGCACGTCCCGCTTCTGCCCCGGAGAAACGGCTCTTTCTTGTCGTAGCTCCTGGTTGTGCAAGGCAGGCCGCTGGCCGGGGGGGGGACGGGGACGGGAGGGAGAGAGGGGAAGGGAGGGCAATGGAAAAGGAAAATAAGGGAAAAAAAAAAAAAAAGAAAAAGAAATATGGGGAAAAAGAAAAGAGGATTTAAAAAGCGGGGGGAGGGGGGTGAGGAAAAGGGAAAAAAAAAGAAGAAATTAAAAAAAAATCCTGAAAAAATATAGAAACGGAAAACGAAAAAGAAAGGACAAAAATATAAAGGAGAAAAAGAAAAAGGGATAAAAGAAAAGGAACCAAGAAAATGAGAAAATGAGAAAAAGAGCAAAAATGAGAAAAAGAGCGAAAAGCAGGAAAATAAAAGAAAAAAGAAAAAAAGAAAAAAAGAAAAAGAAAAAACATAAAAGAAAAAAGGGAGAAAAGAAAACAGAGACACGAAGAAAGACCATAAAAAGAAAAAAAGAAAAACAACGAACAAGAAAAAAAGAAAAACCAAGAAAACAAAAAGGGGAAAGAAAAGAAAATGGAGAAAAGAAAAAAGGACAAAAAAAAAAGGAGGAAAAGATGAAGAGGGGGACACCGCTTTCTCAACCCAACTGTCCTTGGCACTTCCAGTCCCAGGCAGAGGGGCTGCGCAGCGCTGCTCGGGCGCGCTGGTGACACCGGCCGCCCCGCTCACTGCCGTCGCTGTTGGCATCAGCCTCCCCTCTTTGCCCCGCTACCCCCCTCACCCCCCCGCTGCCCCCCTGTCCACCACCGGGAGCCGCGGGGGAGCCGCACCTCGGCAGAGCCGCCCGTCGGGTCCGGATCGCGCCACGCTCCGCGGATGATGGCGACTCGGTGCAGGAACCTGTTTGCTGGGGGGGTGAGGAGCTCTGGGTCCTGCTCCTGGGGCTCCTTTCCCTTTCCCCCCTCCATCTTTCCCCCATCTTCTCCTTCCGCCGCCCTCTCGCAGGGAGGGAGCTGCTCAGGCGGGCGGATCACCTGCTAATGAGCTGGAAGCCCCTTAAGCCCTGGAAATAACTTACTTCGTCACCTATTGACTGTTTGGCTTAGTTTGGAACCGGTGTGGATTTTTCGGGTCTTTTCAAGAGCGCCGGTCAATGAAAAGCTAAGCCAATATTTACCGAGTAGAAGGGCAACTCTCGGCGGTGTTTATTAAGGGGCTGGTGGGGAAGGGCTGCGGGGGGGGTTAAGGGTGCAGGGGGACCTGCCCGGGGCGGCTGGAGCGGCGAGATACGGCCCGGGCGGTGATGCGGCGAGAGGGCACTTGTGGCTCCAGGAGGGCGATGCTCTCCCCTCATCCCCTCCCATTGTTATCCGGCATCACCTCCAGTCACCCCCGCACTCACTCCCGTTGTCCCCACGTTGCCTCCTGTTGTTATCCCACATCCCATCCCGTTATCATCCCTGCAGCCCTACGTGTTACCCGCACATCCTCTCCCTTATCATCCCCGCAAGCCCCTCCGTTATCCCCGCATCACCTACTGTCACCACCACACTCTCTTCCGTTGTCCCCCCATCCCATCTCTTTACCATCCCTCATCCTCTCCCGTTGTTATCCCACATCATCTCCCGTTACCATTCCCGCATCCCTGTACGTTAGCCCTCCATCCCTCCCTGCTATCCCCGCACCTGCAATCTCCACTCCCAGCCCCGGTCCGCGCTGGCTCCCCAGACAGAAAGAGCCGGGGGGGGTTTATTGCTCCCCGCAGCTGGAAGGATTTATGTTAGATGCATTTTAGATGTATTTTAAATGTATTTGATGGAACTCCACACCCCCCCTCGGCGAGCAGCGGCCGCAGGGAGGCAGCAGAGTCCCGCGCAGCACCGGACGCAGCACCGCTACCTCTCCGCGCTCCCCCGGGGCCGAGGCAGAGGGGAACCGGCGGGATCCGAGGCGGTGGCACCGGCCCCCGACCCCCCGTCTCCACTCCCCGCCGGGCTGGGCCCCGGGCGGCCGCAGGGCGGCGCTGCCGGATAAGGGACGCGCCGTCGGGGCCGCCCCCCCGCCCCAGGACTCCTCTCCCGTCGACGCGGCTGGTGCCGATCGCGGCCTGGAGCCTGCGCAGCGTCACACCGGGGAAACAGCCCTTGGACCAGCTCGGAGACACGGCAGCGGCTCGGACAGAAGAAGAGGGATGGAGGATGGAGCCAGGAGGGGCTGGGCTCTGCTCCCAAGGAACAAGGGATGGGACAAGAGGAAACGGCCTCAAGCTGCACCAGGGCAGGTTTAGATGGAGCTGAGGAACAATTCCTGCCCCAGAGGGTGCTCAGGCATTGGAACAGGCTGCCCAGGGCAG